AAGCGGAGACGTAACAATATTTTAGAAATTAATCCTATTGAGAAACGCAAAATAGATTTATTTTGAGCTGATTACCAACCACAAATGGAAAAGTAAAAAAATATAATGAATTGGATAGGATATGGTGAATATCTGGGATACATACTGTTAACCCTAAAGCACTGTTAACCCTAAAGATTTCATTCACTTGTTCCTGATGTAAACTGTTTTAAGAACAATAAAAAAAAATATTTGATTATTCTAAAAACATGCTGAAACGATATACAATACATAATGTAAACAATTAATATATTTATTATCTTATTGAAACTACAAATATCAGTCAACCACAGTGTCCTCCTAAGTTTGCTATTCCTCACTGCTTTCACAGCCTTTCCCAATTCAAGCTTTACATCTCAAATCCATTTTCTATGGTCGTCAGGTCAAGTAAGTCTCTGCTGGCCTCTACCTCTTCTTCCTGTTATTTTACCCACAAAAATCTCTGTTAACCTTCCTTCAGATCTAACTATACATCCAAAATACAGCACCTATCTTCCACTTACAACATACATCCAGCAGTCATATATATTTGTTTTGGTTCATTCCAATACTTCTTCTATAGTTTTCTCTTTCTATGTAACTGATTTAACCGTTAATTCACATAACACCATATTTTCAAATGTATTCAGCGAAGTTCCTAACAACACAAATATCAAACGTAAATTTAATTACACTTTCACAGCTTAAATTATATCTGAATCTTTTAAAAGACACATAACTATGCTCACTTTTATAACACCCAAGCTGCACTAACTTTGCTACACCAAACTCAGGGTTTAGTTATAATTATCAGTTTTGAAGCAACAAAAACTTTTATATAACACAAGAGCGACATTCATGTAACCCTGTTCAGTCATAGCGTGTGCTATCACAAGATAAAATGACTTTCACATATATTTGTCACAAATAAGGCATAACAATATTACATGTATCAATCTATCTATAACAGGTCAACTCACCTGGAGTTTAGATCCAGCAGGATGATCAGTAGCCTTAACATATAAAACCTCTTGGACTTCTTCTGATGGTCTGTCAGAATTTTTTCCAAATACAACAAATCCATTGGCTGTTGCTGGTGGCAGAGCAACAAAGGTGTCACATGAATGCACAAAAGATCCCATAATAGATGATGAGTCAGACCTGTAATAATAATAATAATACGAATAATTACATACTGGAAGATGATATTACACGTTAACAAATAAATATAGAAAAAGCAACAGGTCTCTTAAATGTTTGGGATTAACCCTGATCCCCAAACACAAAATAAGCTACTGAATCTATCCAGCAAACAAATTTTACATACTGGAAGATGATATTATATGTTAACAAATAAATATAGAAAAAGCAACAACAGGTCTCTTAAATGTTTGGGATTAACCCTGATCCCCAAACACAAAATAAACTACTGAATCTATCCAGCAAAAAATTATACAGTCATATCTTTTAGCATATAATACATCATTAATCAAAAATATTCAAAATGTGTTAATTCTAGCTACAAACAAACATAAGTCTAGGTTTTCAAAGTGTATTCGCTAACATGTTAATGTATTTCCTTTATTAATAATAAAGTGACTGTTACAAGTGCTAATGTTATCATTTTTCAGAAGCCAAAAAACAAAAAGATTTTTAATGGCAAACTTCAGTCAATTCCAATATCCTAAATCTACAAGATCACAATCAATTATTTTGACTGAACAATAATGTGCATTTCAATCCAAACAAACAGACAAGTAAAACAATTTCATGCTGATTATACATATAATTTTTTTTTGCACTTCAAATGCAAACAAGAAAGTCTAAAGATTTTACTTGAATCATATACTGTATTAAAAACAAACATACACTTAATTTATCTGAAATATTACTGCTAAACATTGTGCCTTACAAGTTATTTTAGTTTAGAAAAATAAATATAGGTGATTGATATATACTGGTAAAAGTGGAAAATGATTTGAAAGTAGAGGTAATTAAAAACCTATAAGCACATACTGTATTTTTAAGTTTTAATGTTCTGATAACTGAAAATCTTCTAACCCTGCGACCAAATGTAAAATGCTCCTCAGATAATATATTTCTCTTAAGAATGTATTTTTAGACACATATACATATAATATTAAATCAAAAGTGTTATTTTTTTGTAAATCAGTGTTATGTTTGTACATGTAAGGCCAATGGAGCAAACCTATAGCTAATTCAACAACCTCCATTCTCTAGTACTTGATATTAATCTATTGTAACAGACACTAGCCTCCATCATTTCAAAATGTATTTCATCATGCCTCAATAGAACAATACCATTCTTAGCCTTGTACCCAAGCTTTAAAGACCGAGAATTTACAGATCACAGCATTTCAAAATGTATCTCAACATGCCTCAATAGAACAATACCTTTCTTAGCCTTGTACCCAAGCTTTAAAAACCGAGAATTTACAGATCACAGCATTTTAAAATGTATCTCATCATGCCTTGATAGAACAATACCTTCCTTAGCCTTGTACCCAAGCTTTAAAGACCGAGAATTTACAGATTATTTCATAGTCAAATCTGATAATTATTTACACTCTGATTATTTTATTCCACCCATTACATACTTTATGTCTGTTCTTAATGAATAGATGATTGAATAAACAGAGTGTATAAACATCACAACAGTGAACATAATTATATGGGCTAAGTTCCAATATCTGAAGTGCTACACGTACATATCAGAATTGTTTGATAAGCTACATGTAGAATGCACAAGCTACAAAGTAAGCAGTTCAAATCTTAGAATCACATGCCAACTGACACTAAAAATAGAGCCCACTAGATCTTGATCTAAATACAGATCACAGGAAAACCAACTAACACAAGGAGAACCTATATAAGACTTTGGCTATGAAACTGTTTACATTACAAACATAGGCCCAAAACGTGTGTCAAAGAGCTCCCACGATTATCAGCATATATATATTTCATTTTCATATTTAATACATGCAGACTATTTATAAATATTCACCATGCTATATCTTGCATCTAGGCACAAGAGATATGATGAACTTTTCATACAATGGCATGCATTCAATGCATCTTGTTCTTTCCTAGGTATTATTAATACACACACACACACATATTACTGTCAGTATTATACTCGGATTATTGAAAAATGTTTTAATGTGCAATTTTAGTGACTAAACAGGATTTTTGTTTGTTAAGCACAAAGCTATGCAATGGGTTACCTATGCTCTGCCCATTGGGGGTATCAAAAACCAGATGTTTAGTGTTATAAGCCCCCAGACTTACCACTGAGCCACTGGAGGGACAAGTAAATGTGAAGATATCACTTAAATGCTTTAGCTAACACATTTTTGCTACACGTGTTTCTGTTTGGTATTATTCCACTCACTACAACTATGTGCTACACGTGTAAACTGATGCAGAATTCTGATAATAATAATAATCTTCAATAGCTTTTATCCAAAAGAATCCCACCAAAAACAAACCCAACAAATTTCTAAAATAAAATAAATTATAGTTTTGCTTTTCAAAATTTACACTCTTTATTAACATAAAATTTAAGGACAACAAAGGACTTCTTGGTCCATCTAGACCATCTTATCCACTAAACTTTAAAAACAAAACAAAAATACAGCCCTCAAAGCCAACCTTTATAATTCAGATATTTATCAAGCCTTCCCTTAAACTCATTTAAATCAACTGAATCCACCACATCTGAAGGCAGCCCATTCTAAATACCAACCACCCTGTCAGAAAAATAAAACTGCCTTAAATTAAGATCTATACCAAGTCTTTCAAGTACAAACTAAAGTTTTCAAACTAGATCTTAAACCCCTCAGATTTTAACGGACCCTTCATATTTTCAGAATTGTCCTTTAATATAAACCCCTTGCATTTCAACATGAGAATTACAGATTATTCCATTCAATTTTTAAGCTTATTTTTTTTAACTATTTATGCATCAACTACTTGTGGGCTCATCACTTCATTGGTTACAGGGCTCCTACTAATTAAACCCATTAGTTACTGCTGGGACCCCCTATGTATTTTACAAAGAAAATGAGTGATCTTACCCAACATGTTTGGTTAGTTCTATACCATTAGTGTTCATATATATAAGCCAAAATATATTACTCCATATGATGTAACAGATGTATACGAACCTCAACAGAAGTAAAGAGTTTAGTAATTTAGGGATTAAAAACTACTGAAATCAGCTTTTAGATATATAATTATGAGAGATTTATAACTACAAAAAATAACAGATATGGAAAAATATAAGAGATGAAGTAAGAATAAAGGAAAATCTATGAGATGACAGGCTGAATGAAAAAATAGGGTACTTTTCTGTTACTGTTAAACCTAAGATTTAAGTACCAATTATATTCGTTTTTTTTATCATTAATTTGTCTTCACAGAAAAGTAAATCATAAAACAGGTTAAGTACATTGTTTTATTAAATAAATACAATCTAAAAACTAATTTATTGTCTCTTGGTGTTTTATGAATTAACTTGTTTACTTGAACTTGAATCCATTTGTATAAATTCAGCCTATAGTTATAGGTAGGTTATAATATAAATCAGGCTAAATACACTGTATTATTAACATTACTCATACACCAAAGACTAGTTATTGTCACTTCTAATAATGTTCTAAGTTCTATATAATTAAAATTCAACTTTATTACTCTAGTGTGAAGACAAAATAATGATAAAAAAAACTAATTGATTCTTAAACGTTAGGCTTAACAGTAACAGTTGCGGGGGTATAACAGAAAAGTACAAAAAATATTTACATTTATCTGAACATAATCTATATCAAACACTTAACACATAATGTTTGTTTGAGATGAAATTTAAGTATATACAGAACAATTATAAAATTATGGACAACAAGAGGCCATTTGGTCCTTCAAGGCCATTTTTGCACACCACCCTTTGAGAAAATTAAACATTCAAACCCAATCTTTATTCTTCATGAAATCATAGCCTGCTTTCTTAAACTCTTCTAAGTGTTGGTCTCCACTACTGATGATAGAAAGTCATTCCATAACTTAAGTCAATCACACAGCTAGAAAAATTAGATCATCTTAACTGCAGCCTAGTCTGTCTTTCCCAAACCTTAATGTTTTGTACTCTTATTGTATTATCTTCACAATACAGCACAAAGAAACCAGAGGCCTTTATCCTATCAGTCCACCTGACAATCTTGTAAACCTCAATAAGATATCCTTCCTTTATAAAGACAAAATATGTTAAGAGACTTTAAAACTATATCCCTGTATGGTAATTCCTCCATCCTTGGTATCATCCTAGCGGTCTACCTCTGAACCATTTTCAATAAGTCAGTATCTAAGTTTTCTTAGATAACAGACCAGAACTGTATACAGTACTCTAAGTGAGACCTATCTAGTGATTGGTACAGAAATAATTACCTCTTTTGACTTGTGATCAATATGTCTATAAATATACCATAAAATTCTATAAGCTTTACTATTAACAAGAAAGAATTACCTCTATAGCTTGAGTGACTTTACCACCATCATGCCTTTAAGTGATCATTTGTTGAATGATATTGTAAAACACATAGAGTAATCCCATAATAATTAATAGAATTACATAGAGATGCTATTTTTAATGATATTTTTATTTAATTTTTTTGTGACTGATATGTTATCACTAACCTTGTAACCAAGAAAACCATGGACCCACAAGCAATTTGGTGCATAAATAGTAATTAATCAAATTTCAGAAAACTGATTTAAAAAGTCTATATTTAAAATTTTGAAGTTAACTATTTAGTTTTAAATAAAACTTGAAAGATTATTGTATAAACAATATTATTTAATTCAACTTTAAGACCTATGTTGGATTATATAATTTATTTATACTTTAACATATCAAAATTTTGTTTCATAAGCTTACAGTTTGGGGCACAAATATTTGTCTACTCTTCTCATTTTTTCATATCCAGGCATGAGAGAAAAATTAACTTTATCATATAAATTTAGTCAAAGTTCCATGTTGCTTTAGGATATCTCAAATTTGGGACTCAAATCTGCTTTTATCAGTTCTTGTACATATAAATTCAAAGATCCAAAACAAAAATCATAAAAATCAGATACAATGTCTAAATTTTAGACTTTTGCTTAATTAATTTTTTTCACTTATGAATATTTTTTCATTACTCTTCTGTGATAGTCTTAAATTACAGATTTAGAGAGTAATACAAAATATCTTTTAAATATTACGTTTTGATTAACTCTTTAAACTGAAAACTTTCATATTCAAGTATAAGAATATTATACATACATACATTAATTTCATGAAAATACATTTATAGTGTTTTGTGTGTGAAATTATTTATATTTTATTATAAAGAAGTGTAAATGTGTACTTATACTTACGTATTGTGACTGTTTTATAATTTATGGTTTGTGTATAATATTGATTATTAACCCAAATTTGATTAAGAAGTGTGTTCTACTCATACATAGTTTTTATCACTTTAATTACCCGCGAGCTTAAGTTGCCTCCTGATTCTAGAAACAAAATTAAATCTCCAGATTTGCTTTTAAGTTTCATAATTTTAATTTTCTGTATCAGGTAACTGAAAAAAAAAACATTTAATACATATAACTTATAAGTTGCACTTTTGTAAATCGTTGTTATTTTCATGTAGCAGTTATTTGGCTACAATAAAAAACATATCTAATTTATCTGTTACTAGTATTACCATAATTATCTTAAGTCGATCTTCGAAGTTTTACCCAACAGCAAAATGTTATCTTATTATATCAGAGTGACACTGATAGTGATACTACTTACTTGTGATAGACCTAATGTTAAAATCAATTTCTAACGACACTTTTATTATATAATTATTAGTTTTAATTTATACTGGCACTAAATAATGTGAAAAACTTAAGAATAAAAATAAATATCCCCAAGTAAGTGATCATTAACGCCATTGCCAGTAAAAGCGAAAAACATTGCACACACGTAAAAATGTTAATAATAATTTATGAAAAATTATCAATCAATGTATAACTGATCTGATCTGATCTCCTGATCGGAATTTAGGTCTTGTGACCTAGGAGGGTCAGGTACTCTGAGACCTCTTCCTCCATCAATGTATAACTTAAATACTTACTTACCGATTTCAAATTTGTGTTCCCTTTTCATCCGCTGTAACACAGCACTGCCTAGGAAAGGTTTAGAGCACCCTATAGCAACCGTGAGGAATCCTCGTAATAGAATCAGATGACAATAAATTAGATTGAAATACCCATTTATGCTTTAAATTTGAAGTTATGTGTCTATAATTGCTTTATTTTCTTTATAACAAGTCATAATCACGCAAACAAACGTAAATACAGCATTTAATCTTGTGTAAGTATACATAATAATAGTAATGTGGTTTTCTTTAATGTAAACGTTACTTGTGGATTGCTACTAAAATACTGGCGCTCAGTTTCTGCAACAAGTAAACTGATAAAGATATATTTTTCAATCTTGCATATTGGCACCATAACATATTATTATTTGCTATATCTTTTAAAGCTGTAATTTAGATGTTAGCAGGAGGGCGCATGACGTTAAGATCGAAAAGTATGTAGGCTTAGAAAGTTCTAAAACTTTTGACGTTAGATTTTCTAGTAAATTCGAAGAATAGGTTATGAATACGAAGTTCAATGGAGCATAAAATAATTGAAAGTTGTTTCTATTCAGCAGAGTGAATCAGCCAAAGAATACCTTTGTTTCAGTTAGCATTGAAACAATTAGTGTTTTATTTTCAGTAACTTGATTAATCAGCCATAAACTTGATGAAATTGTACAAGTAAGTTTGTTCTATGTTAGTGTGGTAAGTTAGCATGGCTATAAACATGGCCTACAAGTTACCACAGTGTTTAAGCTGGTAGAAATGTTAAAGGAAGAAATAAATTAATATGATATCATTACAAGGACTAGACATTGAATTGTTTTCACCAAATAATTTAAAATAATCTAACAATGACAGAACAACATCATAACAATATATTTTCACACTCTACACGTATGTGTGATACACAGGCATATCTAGGTTTTCTACCTGCATTAGTAATACAGGAATTGTTTTAAAATTTCATTTATTCAGTTTGTAGACAGTTTTAGCATAAACACGTTATTTTAGTTGCTTTGTTCTCTATAGCAGATAATATATATTCTGACTGAGAGGATATTATATTAAAATTACTGGCCGAGTTAATGCAACAGCCAACCAATGATATGAGAAAACAAAGGTCATAAAGTGATACTGTTGACTTGACAAAAAAACTGAGCTTACTTATCGAATTCAGATACATTTTCTTGGTTCAACTCTACTAGGAGATAAAGACTTACTTGAAGATCAACCTGTTTAATTCAAGAAAGCTGTAAAGCTAAATATGCTATAGTAGAAGCAATTATATTTTCATCTGTACAAATGCATACACTGCATTTTCTTTCTTTTTTATGATAAAGATTGTTTTCATTTTTATTAAATTTGCCCAGTATCGTTATTTCACATAAACAAAGAAATCCCAGATAAGCTATCAGTTTCATAATTATTCTCCCTCTCCTTATTTCCTGGTCGAATCTGCCAACTTATTAGCGGGTTTAACTATCTAACACTTGTCGAGAAATTAGATTTTACCTGCAAACACCAGATATGTAAGGAAATGCCATAATGTTTGATAGTGGGTGACTAAATAACTCGGAAATGTGGATTATCAAATGAACATATCTACTCTTATTGGCTAGCAAATACCATGGCTAACTTCGCGACTATATTGTTGCGTCAGCGAGGTCACGTGACTAGTGTCACGCCACCTATTTTCTAGAAATATCCCGTTCCTTCGTGAATGCCCTAGCATTTACTAGATATATGTTAATCTGGTATATATATATAGGACGCTCACAACGTGACGGGACAATGTGTGTAGGTAGTGAGTAATTGAATTGCAGTCAGAAAGTATTGTTGAAGTTAACGTTCGTTGTTAAAACGTTTGTTATAGAGCGACTGTTTAAAATAAGTGTATCGGTAAAGTTATATTCAGAAAGAATAAACCAGTTTTATTAAGTAAGGACTTGTGTCGCTAAAGTTTCGTTGGAACGAAGTTACGGAAAGTTAATTAACAAACGGAGACGTAACAATATCAACCCAGCTAAGTTATTGGTAGAAATGTTATCCAAAGAGTTTTAGATGTCTTTAGATCATATATCCAATCTAAGAAGATGTGTTTCATATTACAATATGTGTCAATTAATCAAAATCAAATAAAAAGAAGAAAACAAAAAAGAAGTGCTAATTTCAATTGGAAAGCTATCAAACACTCTTTCGATTTGAAATAATAGAAAAGATTGTATAAACAAAATCTGCAGAAACTATATATAACATAAGTGCATGTTGCATAAGGCACTAAATTCTTGGGGGCGTCAAATACTTGAGTGCCCAGTTGTGAATTAAAAGGGCACAGTCCTAATTTCTGTCTAGGATGACAGTTCAAAAATTGCCGGCTCTATATATAACTTGATCTACGAGAAAAGACGTTTGATTGGAAGTTAACATTAATTGAAAAGATCCACATTTTTCAACGTTACAGACACTAGTATAACACAGTAAGTAATTTTACACACTCCTCTGATGGCCTTTTCCGTATAAAAAACAAGTGCTGTACCACATAACAACTTATATTTGATATTAATAAAGAACCTTCACTCAACCTAACACAATGGCACTATTTTTTGTAATTACTGTATATATATATAAATATATATATCAACTTCCTTTCAGAGTATATACCTACTTATAGCGAAACTAAAAATCAATCTAATAATGCGTATAGCTAATTACATTTGCCTTTTTACGTTCTTATTTATAAGGACTAGATTTTATTGTATCACCAGTTAAGCAATATCATTGTTAAGGGCATTTTCGGCAATAATCACAATAATATCGGACAAGATTCAACCAAATTATGAGACTTGGTTTAATCCTAAATGTATATATTAATTCAAAATTGTAAAACAACCTATGTCATAAAAGTATAATAATAATAACAATAAAGAAATAATAGGGTATACCTTACTTACGAAGTTTGTTTGTAGTTATACATAAAGCTACACAATGGGCTATCTGTTTTCTGCCCATCACGGGTATCGAAACCTGGTTTCTTGCGTTGTAAGTCCGCAGACATACTGCTGTACTACTGGGGGTGATAGTTACGGAGTATACAAACACTAGCACTACTGATGAATCAACTGGAATGGACGGCAACTGCCTGTTGTAAAAAACACAAGTGTATGGGACGACGTTTCGAAAGTAAGACAAAAGACTTTCGAAACATCGTCTTCTACACTTGTATTTTTTTACAACAGGCAGTTGTGGTCCATTCCAGTTTACTCATCATAAATACTCTGCCTCAACAACCTATCAAAGAACTAGCAGCATTGTTGCAGAAAATTGTTGATGATTAACCATTTGAAAAGCAAAGTGCTGAGTAAAATGGCTTATTTAAACTCATATGAAGAAAATTAAAGATGTAATTTCCCTTCATTACATTTAAATAAACAAGGTATTGTAAGACAAAAAATATCCTGAACATTATAAACAAAATGGTGATGATTATACCTAGAATAAAGATAATGAAAAGTAAAACAGAAAGAACAATATATTACATTAATGGAAAAGGTAAACCCTTTGGTTCTCGTAAAATTAACCATCGAACATTCTCTTCTTTTCAGCCGTGGGGGCGTTACATATATATATATATATACACACTGAGTGGTCACAAGTAAATAGACACCTAATTTTTCGTCATTTAACTGATTTATGCTAACTAATTTGTGTTCACAGGGCACTATGTAAATTAAAATGGTCCGCAAACTAATCATCTTGTGCTACAACA